TCTGCCTCTTGTTGTCCCCTCACCCAGCCCCTCTGCACTAGCAGAAGACTGCACCATGTCTGGAGGACTACATGGTCCCTGCCTCCACAATTTTAACCTAAAAAACATGATTAATGTGTGCAGAAACGTCCCCATCAATCTGTGATTATCTTCCAGGGCAGACTGCTTCCCAGAGCTTAGCTCTTAACAGCTTTCCTATTTCTTTAAGATGAAGGGTTTAAACTTAGGTCAAGCCTGCTTTGCCTATGACCTTTTATACCACTTTTGAGTCTGCAAGGCTTAAACCTTCTATAAAAATTAAGGTGCACTGCAATAATTCTCTTTATATACACACACATGCAGTTAACAAAGAAATATCTGACTTTAAGTTTTTCCACAGATAATGAGCTGTAGCTGAAGATCATGAGCTAAATCTGCTTTTAATGGCAAGGAAAACTATTTGCAACAATAGCAAACAGCCTCCCTGCTAGTGCACTCACAACTAATTACAGCACACAAAAATGCCTGTTGAAATGATCACCAGTGTCATCTAGGAAGTCCTAAAATCCTCCAGCAGCCCTGTACAGCTACACTTATGGAGTGAATGTCTGAAAGTCATCCACTGAAGGATGCTGGACTGTCTGGAGGACAACATCCACGGTGTTGAGATCCAGGATGTGACAGACACACAGGGAAAAGAAGCCAGTTCAGGACTGATTTCATCTTAGTGCAAAGCTGAGTCTTTCACAGCCCTTTGCTGCTACAAACAGGTCCCAGAGAAGCCCAGCAAACAAGCAAACCACAAGGCACTGGCTCACACAGCCTCCAGCCTGAACCACCTTTGTGTCCCCAGCTGTGCTTGAGGCACATGAAAGGACTTGTGAGCTCCCTCAAAGCTCAGCACCTTTTGAAACACATTTCCTCACCTCCCAGATGCCACATGTGCCATTATTTCCAGTGCAAACACAAATGTCAGCACACAGAGCTTTACAGCTTCTGTTTACCTACACTTGAACAAGAGTCAATAACCACCAACAGCAGAGAAATGTGAACAATTCTGGGATAGGCAGGGAAACAGAAGCCCAAACTTCATCTGTTTCAGTACATGTAGCCTTTGCAGAATAAGTAATTTTTTCAGGAAAATAATAATTATATCATGCAAAGCTTTAAGGGTGAGGAGGAGAGGTGGGGAAGGACCCCTATTCTAATTAAGCAAGATGATTGCTGTTGCTCCATATTTTTAACTGGGAAAAAAGGGGGCTGAAGGAATTAAAAAGGCACATTCAGATGTGAAAAAGTGATCATTTCACCATGAGCCACACTCCAGAAGGGTGTTGGGGCATGGAGGGGCGATCTGGCAGACCAGGTAAGTGCCACTGTTCACGGGGGCTGGCACAAGCCCATCACTTTGTCACACAGAAGGCAGCAGTGCAGCTGCTCTGAGAGGAGTGCACATCACTGCCATGCAGCTGATGGCATTCCCCTTTAATATCCACTCTCCTCCAGCTCTGGATTCCCCCCAGGCCCCATCCTGGCAGATATCCCAGGGTGTGATGAGCTGTCACTCCTCTGCATGCCCTGAAACTGCTCTTGCAGTGGTCATGCAACTGCTCAAAGCCTGACACAGTGCCAGGACACCTCCCTGTCCTGCCGGCTCCACACGAGTCCCAAACACAAGCAGATGTCTCTGGTCTTGTTCAAACTGGAAAACAGGGTCAGACTGCAGTGACACAGCCACAGTGGAGTCAGAGGAATTAAATGATGAGGAGCATTACATCTGAGGGACATTTAACCTGACAGCCAAATCTTTCACGACCCTCATTCCATGAAATTTATGACAAGTGGGTTACTGTTGAATATTCTGGAGGACACTGTCACTGTGGAATAAAGAATATTAATACAAAATCCGGAAAGCTCACCCAGACTAAGTGCCCACACAGGGATTTTCCCCAGGCTTCCTCTGTCTTCCAAATGAGAGCAAAATCTTAAATAGGTAACAAGGTAGGGGAGGGTTTAGGGTTTCAATCAGCACTTGTAAATATGAAGATGTTTCAGCTCCTGAGACAATGGATCATTTTCCACCAGAAGCAAACAAAAGCTGCTGCTGCCTGCAGTAAACACATGAAGGTGCAGAAGTCAGAGCTCCTGAATTCCCTGGCAGCAGAGAATAAAGGTTGGATAAATCACCAACCTGCTCATCCCACACACCCCAATTTGGGAAGTAGGGAGACACTTGTCCCATCTATTCTTATCACTGGATCATTCCAGAACACAGTACTGCCTTATTTCCTGGACTTTTCCTTTGCATGGTGATAACCACTCTGAAAAGGCTGGAAAACTGGTGGGAAGAGTGGAGAATGGGGCCCATGGCATGCACTATTTCCAGGAAAAAGGGCACTGCAGATGCAACTCCCCACCTTCAGCCAGGTATCTGACCTTTGGAGTTAATGGGAATTTAATCAAACAGAGCAGTGTCCCTCAGTGGGCTGGGACACAGGAGGGGTTTCTGGGGAAGCAGAGTAGCAGCTCTGTCTCACGGTGTCTTTCTGTGCTGTTTTCCTGGACACAGACCAGCTCTGTCTTCCCAGAACATCAGGGTGCAATCACAGCCCTCTCATAAAGAGAAGATGCAGATGAAAGCAGAATCAGGGCTCAAAAACACAGGGTCAAGCAGGGAAACCAGGAAAGCACATGATAAGAGTCTCATTCTGTAGGATCAGACTATTTTCCTTTGTGAATAACTAAGGAACACTGTTTATCTCTGAAGCAAGCTTACCCACTCTTTCCTCACATGCCTGCCTGCCCTGCTTGGGGGATCACTGCTGTTTGTTTAACACTGACAACGATGTCCTTGAGATTCCATCCTTTTTTGCAGGGTCAATGAAAGAGTTCACACAAACCCAGGTTTAGTTAAAAATAAGACAAAGTATCCATTCAGCAGCGGCAGGAATTCCTGGATATTTTCATCCCATTCTGAGCAGGACCACACAGAGGCAGTGTTAACCGGGACAGGTGGCCAAGGACATCCCCTCTTGACAGGACACAGCTGCCCCCAGCCCCACGTCAGCCTGGCAAGGGAGGAAACACCAGGGAAATCACAGGAAAAGAGCAGGATGATGCTAATATCAGTGGGCAGAAAGAATGTCCACTAACCAGAGGGAATATTTCTTACTCTTTTTCCCAACAAACCAGCAGGTTTTCCCACAGGGGATCTCCCCAGGAGGCTTCCTGCATGAGGCTGAGGGGCTCTGGAAGATGCTGCACCTTTGAAATGGTCGTGCTCAGCTCAGCTGCTGTTTCACAGGTTTATCTCAAAGGAACTGGGGTATTAGCAGAGCCCAATGTTCTGAAACACCAGCAAAGGATTCACACACAGGAGAGGTTTAGATTAGATATAAGGAGAAATTTCATTACCAAAAGGGTTGTCAAGCACTGGAACTGACTGCAATTGGACATAGCTTAGTAGTGGACTCAGCAGTGTCAGGGTAAGTGTTGGATTCAATGATCTTAGAAGGCTTTGTCAACCTGGAAGATTCTATGGTTCTGTGTTGTTGGCATCAACACCAGAATTCACCCTTCTGGCTGGCAGAGGCCAGGACTGGTGGGATATGGTTCAACATCTCAGGAGGGTCAGGTCAATCTGTGCTTGGTTTTATGATAAATGATAATAAAATCTATGTAACATTAACTAACATGTGAGGTTTCCTACATTAACATCATGTTTAATGGGTAATAATAGAATGCAAAGCTAATCAGACTTCAAACTACTGACCACCACCTTGAACAAAGTCATAGGCATGAGAATGGCCCAAAATGGCATCCTTGGCTAGAGTTTAGCTCTTGCTTCACATCTTTGATGAAGAACAAACACTCTTCCTGACCTCACTGTTAATGGTTGCACAGTATTTTCTCTTCTAGGAGGGGATGAAAGACTCCAATAAACAGGAAAGTGCTCAGAAATAAAAATAAACCCACAGACTTTGGAATGTCTTCTTTTTCTTTCCCAAATTACTTCTCCCCATTTTTCAGTCTCATGTCTTACTTGGAAAGCTGAAATGAGAAGCAGGAAAGCAACCCTTTGACTGCTCACTAAAATTCCAGTAGAGAAGCTGTTGTGAGGAATGAGCACCACCAGGAAAGAAGAAGAGAAGCAAAAAAGAGAAGCAGCCTCAGGCCATCCTGGCAAAGAGAGCCCAGCCTTGGTCAGCCTCATCTGCTGTCCCCTGTCACAGAGGACACAGAACAGCACCAGCTGTATGTGAAGGACATCACATTGGCATTGTGTTTTCTAAGGAAAGACACCCAAGTCTGTGCTTCCAGAAGATTAACTCCAACCCCAAAAGTGGACATGGGTGAAGTCAAGGAGTGATTCATCATGCTTAAGGGCAAAAACACTGCCTGCATCTGGCTGGAGGCTTCCACTGGCCTCTCCATTACACTTGTCACAGTAAGAGAACAGATGACACTGATGGAAAGCCAGACTGGGAATGGGTTTGTGTTCTTCTGAATTGTTTGCTTATGGCTGTGAGCTGATTTAAGAATACATGTGAAGCGTAAAACCTCAGAGCAAACCAATTAATTGACCATGGATATAGGTATTAATGATTTGTAATTCCTACTACATTAGTTCCCATTCAAAGCAAATTAGATATTTGTTTTCCTATTAAGGTGCCAGTAAAAGTGGCAAATAGACACAAGCATTCTGCGTTGCTTACAGATAATAGCTGTTCATTTGGCACAGAAGGTCACTGGTGGGTAATTGAGGTTTTACACAAGTCAGAGACAAAATCCACTGTAAATTCAGCACAGCCATGCAGAGACCAGAGCTGGCATCAACCAATAAAGGAGAACTCTCCACTCTCTCTGTAGAACTTGCTGCTAAGGCTTCACCAGAACCAAACCGAAACAGCTGAGGGAGAGGGTGGCAGCTCAGAACAGAACAAAGCTGTGCTCAGACACCTCTTGGTGGAAGTGTCTCTGCTGGAGGAGCCAGCAGGAGTGCAAACACATCCACCCTTTACCTTTGGCCGCTTCCATTCCACTTTCCCTTTTGCTGCTGAGTCGTAGTAAAGGGATTCATCTGAGGCTGGAAACTCAGGGTCCTCAAAGAGGATCCCCTGCTGCAGGCACTGCCCCTTCAGCTCGTGGTACCTCTGGTCTCGGAAGAGCTGCACTGATGAGGACATCTTCTGTCTACATAAGATCAACATTGGACAAACCATGAAGACTCTTGAAAGTCCATAGGTGATACCACTCCCTGGTCTTGAACAAGAGAGCATGCAACTTGTTCTAAATGAGGGGACTGATTTATTTATAATAAAACAAAAAGCCCCAGATTATAAATTAGATTAGATTAAAGACTGGGAAAGTATAAACACAGGAAGATCCTACAGATAAGGATCATATTTTTGTCTGAACAGAATTCTTATCAGGAAAGAGCCCAGGCCAGGCACAAACTCAACATTTTGATTTGTCTAATTGATTGGAAAGGTAGCAGAGTGAGGCTTGGCTCTCAGTCTGCACCATGTGTGAAGGGCTGGGCCATCTTTCTGTCCTACATTCTTCTTCTGGCCACTAAAGCTTGAATGATCTTCTTCAGATTTCATGCCTAAAAAAACCAAAACGAGATTTCCACATTTCTCCATCTTAATGTAAGTGACAATGCTTTGGCTTGTACTATTGTCTTTGAACTTTATGTTACATTTCAGGGAACAGATTTCCCAGAAGGAGAAAATATTTGCAAATAATTGATGAGAACTAAAAGTATTTTAAAAAAAGCACAACAACAACAAAAAACCCAAACAATGTATTCCCAGAATCCTGACTATCAAACTTGGCAGGTTTATGGTCGCACCCACAGAGCTCAAATAAATAGCTTTAAAACATTTTACAAATGAGTAATCAATTACAGAAATCACTGATAGTTTGAAATTTGGAGGACATGAGGGATGCTACCTCTGCTTCATGAGAGAGAGTGATGAGAGATCTGAACTTACCCTGTTTGGAGGGGTCCTGTGTGTCAGTTCCTTTCCTCTTCCTTCTGGACACAGGTTGGAATTTGAGATGTATCTCCCCTCCTTTGCCTACAGCAATAAAGACAAATGCAGGCTGAATTAACCAACATCCTGCTCTGGAGCATGGCACCACGTGGTCCTGGCAGCCACCCGCTGTGTCCAGCTGCAGGGAGCTCAGCTGCTGCTCCTTGAGCCACCTGCAGCACAAATTGGATGAGATTCCACAAATCTGCAGGAAACTAAACCAAGCTTTTGCAGGTGGGCAAGTGAGCACAGTGAGAGAAATACAGAAGAGTAATGAGGAACACTTGGAAATGGCAAATTTATCATGGTCTTTGTTCTTGTGAGTGAAACCTGTTTGTGGCTGCCCCTGGATCCCTGGAAGTGTCCAAGGCCAGAATGGATGGAGCTTGGAGCAACCTGGGATAGTGGAAGGTGTCCCTGCCCATGGCAGAGGGTGGGACTGGATGGGCTTTAAGATCCCTCCCCATCAAAGCCATTTTGTGATTCTATTCCTTTCTGGTTAGTTATCTCCCTCAAAAAAAGTCTCAAGGCCTCTCACTTGGCATGTGGCCTCCCAAGACAGGGCAAATAGATTTGCTTCCCCCCCACAAACCAGTTCTTCAAATTCAAGTGTAGAACAACTTGTCAATTTTACAGAGGTACCTCAGAGACCACAACAAAACAGTCTGACTAATTTGGGTGGGATATAGATTATTTCATGATAACTGGCATTCTTGATCATTAAAAATTCCCCATGAGCTATCTAACATTCTAATCCGAGTCTATTTGTTTTTAAAATAGCCCCTGGGTGATGAGGTTTCTGTCGCTGCCTAATTCATTGAGACAGGTCTTTCATGACCTCACTCCCCTGCCCTTTCTCCCCACCTATCTGCCAGACAGGAACATGAGACCTTCCAGGATTAATGCTCCATTCCACAACAGCCCGGAATGTTCTGTGGCAATGCACAGAAGGGGGTGATAAAGCACTGCCAGCCTCGCCCTGGGCTGCCAGGCAGTGCTCAGCAAGGGAAACACCAACAAGGAGGAGGTTTCTCCTGCCAGTCTCTTCTCCTGCCCCTCTCCAGGCTCCCTGTGACATCTGCAGTGTGTTTTTGGGGCTCAGGCTCCCAGGGCTGCTCTCCTGGCTGCTGAATGTTTCACTCCCACCCAGGAGGCACAGAACTGATGTCCCATCACCATCTGGAGAACCAGGAGGAACCCACTTTCACAGGAAACCAGAGATGCCCATTTTAAACTCAATAAAAACATCTCTTTTTCGTTGGAAAGCCCTCCATCAAGAATATCAGTGCAGCTTCTGTACAACAGCCTGGTGGTTTGAGTGCTGAGGATGGAGCCCACCTCTCCTGGAGTGTTCACCTACCAGGACATGGCCTGAGGCAGACCTGGCTCCCATTCCAAGGTTTATTTTTGAAGCAGCTCCCAGTTTTTTGACCCTCAGTTGATGACTGAAGCTCCCAAACTAAGAAGCACACTCCTTCCTCCGTTCTCCAGCTGGGGCACAGGGCAGCAGAGCATCCCCTGCTGCACAGCCACAGCTCTACCCTGGCTCAGCTGGCACTCCAGCCTTGCAGTGCTGAGGAAACACTGCAGGGCTTGGCAGCTGCTCTGCCAGGGCTGCCTGCTGTGCCATGTGATACAGAATGAGCTCTGCACAGTGGACTATGAAATACAGTCCTAAAAATACTGCACCCCAGCTAGAGACACTCTGTCGCTCTGCAGAGAGAAGGGACCAGTGCAGGGGAGGGACAGAGGAGAAAAGAAGGGAGAATAAATGTTGAAGAGCCCTACAGGTCACACAATCCCCTGGGCTATCAGCAGAAATACAGGGGTCTCACCTCACTGAGCTTTCAACTGCTCATCTTTTAAGTCTTTCTCTGCCCCTCTGTTTTTCCAGGGAGTTTCCCATTCTGATTAGAAAAAGGGTTTCAGCAGAAGAGTGGAGTTGGTGCAGAGTCCCCTCTTCAGCCTGACCACAGAACAATCTCAGTTTTACTTACAGTTTATTTTCAGAGATGATTCCTCTGCCAGAGCCAGCCCGAGCACAGCTAAATCACATTCAGTCCTGGGCAAATACCAGCTCCTGGCCTTAGCAGCAGCAATTAATTAAAGGGACATTCACTTGAAATCCAGGTATTCCCCAGAGCATTAACATAAGCTTAGAGTGTTAAACTACCCAACAGTGTTTCTTTACACTCACATTTCCCTGTCCTAACCTTTCTCTGCCCCATCTGCTACACAGGAGATCCACAAGAGACAGGTGTGTGAGGGAGAACTACACCCTCCTTATCCTTGAAATCATACAATAAACACACAAACCTGAACAGAATTCACCTGCTCTCATACCAGTTTGGTTACTTTGTGTGACCAAGGCAGAGCAGTTAGTGCAGCTGCTAAGCCCAGCCATCCCTCCCACTCCCATCCCAGCCCAAGGGGTGCAGGGACAGCAGGGCTGGGTTTTTCCTAACCAAACCCAGCACTTTCAGCCCCAGAGGCCAAGCAGCTGCAGAGGGTCCTCGGTGCCAGATGAAACTCCTCTGCAAGGAGGAGGCTTGATGTGTTGTAACACATAAATTCTGTAACACGCCCCACTTTGCTGTTCCAGCTGCAGGACTCCAAGGAATTTCCATGCACAGCACCAGGACTAAAAGGGCAAAGTGCATTTCCAGGCAGGATTTAAGGCCACAGTTGGACACAACTTTGAAAATGAAACTGCTTCTTCCAGAAGTGAATCCTGAGTTCAGGCCCACATTCCTGCTGGTTCAGGAGCCCCTGACTGGGAAGGCCATGGAGGGATGCCAGAAATGATGCACACAGCATATTCCATGCTCTGGGATAGCCTCCCAGGCTGAGAGAGCTGGGGTGCCTCAGCCTGCAGAAGAGAAGGCTCCAGGGAAACCTTAGAGCAGCCTTTCAGTTCCAAAAGGGATTTTATTAAAAAAGAGGGAGAACAACTTTTTCATGGGCAGACAGGGACGGGACACGGGAAAGTGGTTTTAAATTGAAAGAGGGGAGGTTTAGATTAGGATACCAGGAAGAAATTCTTTCCTGAGAACTGGCACAGGTTGCCCAGAGAAGCTGTGGTCTCTCCATCCCAGGAAGTGTTCAAGGGCAGGCTGGATTGGACTTTGAGCAGCCTGGAAGATATCCCTGCCCAGAGTGCTGGGATGAGATAAGCTTTCCAACCCAAACCATTCTGTAATTGTGTGAACCCAGTTTGAAGATTATTGTCCATTTCAGGTACCAAGTTGTCACCTGAGCAGGACTAACAGCCACCCCTGGTTCTCAGGTTTCTCTTTTGTACCTGCAGTCGTGTGCCTGTCTTGACAGCACACAAAAACCTCCCAGCTCAGCACTGACTCCTCACCAAACCTCAAAGCCACTGTTTGGACTACGAGAGCAAAACAGGGACTCAAGTATTTCACTGTTTGCAAACATAGTTTTGTATTTTCCCAAACATCTCTCTCCACAGTTTGCTTCAGAACAATCAAACCAGTGAGTGCCTCCAAAAAAGCAGCCCTGCAGCCAAAAGCTTTAAATTACTCTGAACTGGTTTTCTGTAAAACTAATTAAAGGAACTTCCAGGCGTCCAGCTGGAAAAGGTTATTGCTCTTTCTTGCTGTGCAGAGTGATCACAGGTCCTTACAACACAATGACTTTGCAAATCTGTATTAAGTGCAGGGGAACTTAAAGCAGTTGAAAATCTTCCACTTCATAAACACTGGTTTCACGATCTTGGCTGTTCCACTGCTACTGCTGCAGTAGAAGCATGTCTCCTGGAGCAATTTACTCATTCAAACTCTTTAAACAGCTCAAGTCATTAACTGGGAGGCTTTATGTTGGACTGGATCTCCTCTCTTCCTCTGCGTAAGCCAATAAAAATGTATAAAGTCATTGTTAAGTCTGGGTTGTATGGATGTGCAATTGCATTAGTAGGAATATATTCAATGTTGACCAAATTTGCTGCACAGGATAATTTAATAGCATCCTGTCCAGTATTAATGACTGTGATCCAGGGTTCTCAGTAGTTCTGGATGGCAGTGCTCTCCCTGACTGGGTGAAATACCAGTTACTTGTGTGCTCTGGGGATGCCGTGATTATTAATGATTATTAATGATACTTCTTTCATCCAGTATTTGGATTTTCCAACAAAATAAGGTAAGTTGGACTATTTTATAGCCTCTGTAACTCAGGAATTTTATAGGTGTATAAAGAAGGTTTCTCTGTTAGCTCCGCTCAAGAATTAGCTATGGGAAGGAGACACAAGCATTTGCCTTCTTGCAGAAACAGGACAGTGCCAACCTTGTTCTGCTGGGCAGTTTTGCCACAAAATCGAGAAAGAAAACCACATATTTTCATTTGGGAGTATCCCAACCCATATCCTATCACTTCTGAGCAGGAATGTGGGGGAGAGCCACTGGACAGCCCACAAGCTGTTTGCTTTCACAGACAGCAGCACAGCCTGGCAGAATCAACAGGCTATAAACCAAAGTTTTTCCACAATAAAATTAATTACAACACTTGAACTGCAACAGCACGGTGCTTAACCAGGTTTTTCTTTCATGTCTCACTGGGATAGGAGGGGTTCTGTGGTACTTCAGCTGGGATCAGAATTCAGATTGCACTGCAGAGGGTGGGTGCTGGGTCAGGACCAAGCCTGACGTTCCCTAAGCCCAGGAGTGGAGCAGGAGTTCTGCCAAGAACCTGCTGCTGATTTTCTCAGCTTGTTCTCTCTCCATCTCACCAGTTCCCGGTGAGATAAAGTGCAAACTCATTCTGACCCCTCAGGATGGGAGTGCAGAAGCAAACAGCTGCTGAGGAAAGCTGCCCCTGCAGGTGACTGTGCCCAAGGGGGAACAGCTGCTTCTGGCATGAGCAGAAACACCCCAAATTTGTAGGGCTGGCTCATGGTCAGGGGTGTGTGGGATCTTTTCAGCTTGAGAACTGAGTGAATTGAATATACACCTGTGATTGTTCAGCAGTACAATGCTGATTTCATGGTCAAAACCACTCAAAGTCCTGGCAGAACACACTCAGGGAGGATAAACTCTGGCTGGACTCCCTCTCTCCCCTCCTTGCCTTTCCCATGGGAGTTTATCCCCCGTGAAACACTTTTAACTGTTCTCTCTCCTCAGGCAAGGGCAAAGATTTAAAAAGCAATGGCATTAGCAGCAGAGCAGACTTTGCCTCCACCTGACTTCCAGGTGAAACCTTCAAAAAAATCCTGAAATTCTTGAAGATCATTGCAAGCAGAGACAAAACCCATGGCTCCTTTCAGGATTTTCCAAAGTGCAAAGGTGTCCTCATGTTTTAAGAAATCTTGCCCTTCAGTGGCTTCCAGGACAGCCTCAAAATCAGACACGCTTTCAGTTAACATCAGAGAGGTACAATTCCAGTTAGATTCTTTTAAAAATCTTTTAGTAGAGTAGATGGCAATTGTTACAATTAACATTAATCCAGTCAAGTGATCTATAAAAAGCTCTGAAGAAAACGCAAACAGCATTGTCACTTAATTCATTCAAGCCAAGGTTTTGTGCTGAAACCACGGGAAACAGCTTTCTTCAGAATTCCAGTACCTCTCCATTCTGCCTTTTATGAAAAGTTAGTTTAAATAAAGAGGGTAAAAAGAGATTGAAAATTAATCAGTAACTCCTTATCAGGCCACTCTATTATTTTATATATCCACTTATCAATTATTTCAGATACAGTACAAAAATTTCTCCTTCACAAGAACAGTGAAATAAAGTAAAAAAAAAAACCCAAACCCCTTGAATTTCACAGTGAAAGAATCCACAGAGAGAACTGACAATATTTTGGAAGATCAGAGACAGGATGGCAAATGGAATTATATGAGCAGAGATCAAATCACACTTTCTCAGTCTGGCCCCTTTCTTTGGAATAACTGTAAGGATGCCTGTAGAGAGAAGAGTAGAGTGGAACTGGTTATCCAGAAGAAAGGACAGCACCCATGCTTTGGCAATAAATCCTGCAATAAACTTTGGCTCAGAGTTAGCACAGAGCTGTTACTTTGTGAAAGAACTATATATTAAATAAATTCGAATAATCCAAAGCATTTTCTCACTGTGCTGGCTCGTTAGGGCTCACACAGAGCTCTCCCTCCTGGTGACAGAGGCGTCAATCAGCAAACACCCGTCAGGCACTCACCTGCCTGGGGTCAGAGGCTGCTGGGGCACATCGAGCTCCAAAGTGGCTCCTGCAGACAATGATCCCTCTGCTTCTTAAGTGGAATTCTCCGGGCTGCACCACGCTCACATCTCCAGGGGGTGTGTGTTGGGATAACTCCTCCAGGGATGTCCCAGGACACCAGGAAAGCTCCGAGCTGACCCAAAGTGCAGAGCCTGCTGCGCTCCTGACACACAAACCATCAGCTGTGGCTGTGGCTGGAACTGTGAATGAACTCTTAGAGAAGGAGATAAGGCCAGGCTGTTTGGCAAGAGTTGCAGGGTTTGTTTGGATTTTTGATTTTGATTTTTTTTTTTTTTAGGGAAGACGGATTAATGTGCACCATGGAAAAAAAAAAAGTTACATTCCTTATTAGGCTGCACAGCATTCATCCTCCTCTCCCTGTCCTAGGAAAGGAATTGGTATCACTTCATGGGGATAACAAAGTTTAGAACCCAGAAAATAATACATTTCTCTGTGCTGTACCAAAATAAAAAGCAGGACACAAAGACATTCTTGACAATAAATGGTTTTGGAAAAACAAGCTTCTCTCCATATTTTGCTCAGCCTCAATTTCCTTTTGGGTAAATCCGAAACATCTGGGTTAATTTAACTTGATTTTTCCCCCTGATTTGAGGACTATAACACCTTTATTTTGCCATTATGTGGCTTTTATTTGTATTTTAATAAATGTAGTCCCATTTTTTGAACAAGCACCATTTCAAAATGCATTACAAAATTTCATCTGCACCATAGTTTTATATATTCTCCCCAGGTTTTTTTCCTCCATTTAATCCTCATTTTAGCATAACTGGTCTAAGTTTACAAATAGGTTCATTCTTTCTCCTCAACATTATTACTGAGCAAATTTCCTAGAGGAGATTGGATCTCAGGAGATGAGTTACATCCACAAAATACTCTGAAGATGATTAAGAAGTATCACAAATTTCTGTACTGCAAGGTTCACCACAGGACTGTTTGCTCTCTTACCCCAATTCCTTTTGAATGCACGCTGAAATTTGGACTGAAAGTCCCTGGAAGCCGCCACTACAATTTTACCATTTCATGAGTAAAAAAACTTTACAAACCAAAGCCATGTGTTTCCAATTCCTGATTGAGTAAGTAGCCCAGAGTTTAAATCATAATAAAAAGCTGATGCCTGTATATTACACGCACACTGTGATTCATTTGCACAGCTGAGGGAAGAACATGAAAACTCCCACAAGAGCACAACAAAATTCCACTCTGTGAGCTGATAATAATATTCACAGCTTATAAGAAGTGTTCTCGCAGTAGCTGCCTTTGCTTTGATCCAGTGCAGAACAAAACCATGAGAACTTTTTGATGTGAGTGGTGTAATCCAAGAATTGGATGGGATTTGTCTGGGCTGAGGAGGAGCTCTTGCTGGAAGTCTTGTCAGAAACAGAAATTCCTTTGGACAGGCAGCAAGATGAGCTACACGGATGAGAACTTATGGAAAAAAAACCTGGAAAAGAGGTCTCAGTTACTGTGAACAATTTAACCTTACAATATTGTACCTGAAATCCCTGAATGAACCCTGCAGCCTTTAGCTGCCTTGGTGGATGTGTCCTCTCCTCTGGATGAACTGGTTTCCATCCATGACTGTGCTGCATCTCCTGGTGTCCCAAATTTCCTCACTGCTCTCCTGCACAGCCTGCAGGCACCCTGAGCAGTGCCCCACCACACTCTCCAGACTTGCTGCTTTCCAAACCTGACTCCTCCTGCACCTCAGCAGCAAACCAGAGCCCAGAGCCAGCCTGCTTTGTAAAGAGACACCACAGCACAAGGAACCAGCAGAACTTGCTCCTTCACAAGGTCTTCTGTACCCCACGTCTGTATGTTCAGCACCTTCAGCTCAGAGCCCATCTTACCTTCAGAAATTCCTGCCCATCACCTTACACACACTGCACTGCCAGGTTCCTGTGTCCCACCAGAGATATGTTCATTTCATTTGTTATTCACTTAATTTCATGGGGCAATTTATTAATAAAACATGAGGTGGTTTCCAGCAGAGATTCAACTTAAATACTACATGTTTATTCTACTTTCTAATTTAAGCAGTTTGAACAAAGAAGAGCCCAAGAAATCTGAACACTAAGCAAGATTCACTGAAAATTTTCAGAGTATCTGTGTATCCAGTCATGCCTGATTTTGCTCAACAACAGCATTTTGAACCTGGATCGCTCATCCTTCACATTGTGGAATTTTGATAACAGGTTCCTTTCTACTTTCTTCCAAAGCATAAATGACAGAAGGGGTTGGAGTAGGGATCAGTCCCAGAGTGATGGTTTGCTATTATTGAGTTAAAAGAAGACAATCCCTAAAACAGAAGGCACAGAAGAGGTTTTGCCCCTGTCTACAGCTGTCACAGAAGCTGAAGTGTACAGAGCAGCCTGTATCCCCCAACTACCTTAACCACAATCAGAAGAAAAAAATTCTAAAAAGCCAAGGCAGCACTACCCTACAGGGTTTGAAGCGGGGTTTGGAGTTATTTTTCAGGCAGGCTGGTCACGGGGGGAAGGAGGAGCAGGGGAACAGCCCTGCGAGGGAAGGGCCCCAGGATTTATTTCCCTGCAGGACGCACACGAAATCCACCCTCCCTCCCTCCGGTGAGCCCGGGGAGGGGGGAACGTGGCCGCGAGGTGGCGGCATCGCCCCGGGATGCGAGGGTGGGAAAGGCATGGGTGAGGTGGGAAAGGCAAGGACGGGGTGGGAAAGGCAAGGACAGGGCTGGGAAAGGCAAGGGAGAAGTGGAACAGGCAGGGGATGGGAGGAGTAGCTAAGGCATGATTGCTCCCTTGCCTTGTCCTGCACATTCCTCCCTTGCTTTGTGTCTCCCTTCCCTTCCCTTCCCTTCCCTTCCCTTCCCTTCCCTTGGCTCCCTCTCCCATGCCTTTTCTAGCCCTTCCTTGCCTTTCTTTGCCACCCGTCCCTTGTTCTGCCCACCCTGCCTGGCCCTGCCGTGCCCTCTGGGCCAGCGGGAGCTCCTGAGTGGCCCCGGGGCCCGGGAAGGGTCGCCGGGGCTCCCGGGGCAGGGAAGGGGTGGCGAGGAGCAGCTGGAGTCCCTGCGGTGCTGGGAGAGCGACTGTAGGGCTGCGATAGGAATGGAGCTGAAATCACCGCAGGGCTGGGATAGACAATGGCTGGAGTAAAATTGTGAGGCTGGGGTTGGAATGTGCGCTCTAGAGCTGGAGATGAAACCTCAGAGAGCTGCAACCAAAAAGATCCTGAAGTGAGAACCAGGAGCAGTTCCACCTGGTGGTGGGGGAAGTGGAGATGCGGAGTTGGAGCTGAAACAGGAGAACTGGTCGTGAAATAAAGCTTGTGGGGCTGGAGCTGAAATCACTGTGGGGTAGGGATGGGAGAGCAGCTGTAGTGGTGGAGCTCATTGTGGTGCTGGGCTGGCTCTACAGAAAAGATCCTGCTGTGAGTACCTGCAGCAGCTTCACCTGATGGCAGTGGGAAGTGAAAGGAACTGAATGGGCAGAGCTGGCAGTGAAATGAAGCTCGTGGGGCTGGGACAGGGGCTAAAGGAGCTGAAATCACCAGTTCTTCCCCAGTTCTCTAGCAGCAAGGGCCCTGTGCAGTGGAGCAGGACGGGTGTTTTTGGGCACACAGGGCACATCCCCTGCTGCTGTTCACCGTCTGTGTGGGCAGGCGTCAATCAAGCTGAAAAACACACATGAAGAGAAAACTCCCTGAGGGGCTCACAGAGACAGGAGTTCCCTTCTCTTTGAATTGCCATTTGTATTCCGAGTGTTGTGTAAACATTAAATATTTAAAACATTGCCTGTAGCGCTCTTGTTTCGCGGTGGGATTTGGAGAAAACCATTCCTGTCTCAGGGTCATGAGAAATGTGCTCAGGCTTAGCGTGTTGCCCTTCTCCATCAGAGATTCCAGGGCCTCCAGGAGCACTGCCCCTCTCACACAGCCTGAAACCATGCCTTGTTTAATGTTGGCAGGAGTTGGACGGGGTTTGGCTCATGTTTGCCCTGTCATTCCTGGTCTGTGGGATGCTGCTGCTGCTGCAGGAACATTGTCCAAACCTCCCCCAGCACTGGCACATCTCTGCACTCCCAGACAGAACCCACTGCACCAAGCTTTAGGGGTTTTGTTGCAGTGCCCAGGCCATGCTCACTGCAGTTCACATCTGCTTTGGAACCCAGGATGTTCCACCTTGGACACTTGATCATGCAATGCCATTATTTAGTGAAGGTTTGTCTTCTTGCAATTTCAGATGCCAGCTCTGCTCTCACAGTGCTGGTGATTTCTTGCTCTGCTAACTCTTAGCAGCTGTTGTAGTTTCCCAGGTGAAACTCTTTACATGGAGCCTGAAGGTGTGATTATCCCCATCCTGCTGGCACCTGGAGACCAAAGAAATTCCAAGCCCATTTTGGGCACTTGCTGTGTTTTTATTGTGGTCCCAGGTGATTCCCCAGCTGGCACAGAAACCTGTGGCCACATCAGGAGCTGAAAGTCTCCTGAGTTGTAGCCTACTGCTCTAAATATTATTTTCCTAATTCTGGTGCCTGGCATTTAGAGTCACAGCTGATCTCTTTCTGACCAGAAAAGCAGAGTATGGTGAGTCATTTAAAGATTTAAGGATATTGAGGGCAGGCTTGGTTTTATGTACCTAAATCTGTATCAAGGGGACAGAAAGGTGTTTTTTAGTTTCTGTTTTAATGGAGTAAGCCTTGTGGGGATGCTGCATTGGCCCTTGTGTGCCTGGAGCCTGTTCCAGAGTACTATGTCACAAAACACAGGAATAAGAGAATTGTCCTTTAAGAGGAGAGCACAGGAGGACACATTTGCCCTTGTCCTCAAGTTCTCCAGCACATAACTGCATTCCCCCCCTCGTGTCCCCTCCCCACCCAGCATTTGCAGAGCTACAAAATACAAAAGCTTGGCCTCATCTCCCCGCACTTGGCTTGTGTGCACAAGCAGTGCATGGGTGGGCGACCTCATTTGAGAGCTGATTTCATTATAGATCAACTGTGTTCCTCCCCTCGTGGATCTCATAGTTATCTTCCTCCCTGATGAGGACTTCTTAATTAAAGCATGGACAATTTGTGACAGAATGGCATTTTCAAAGATTTTCTTTCCTGGTTGCACAAATGCATCACTCTCCAGAGGCCAGGCTGGTCGTGTTAATTTAAAATGAAGGTTTTATTGCTGCACCCTGCTCTAGCTGCTGTTCACCTTC